AGCCTCTCAGAGCAAGAAAATCATAAATTACTTTCTAGAATTTTCTAGTACTTTTTCTTCTTAAGATTTTATTTATTTATTTGACAGAGAGAGATCACAAGTAGGCAGAGAGGCAGGCAGAGAGAGAGAGAAGTAGGCTCCCTGCTGAGCAGAGAGCCCGATGTGGGGCTCAATCCCAGGACCCTGAGATCATGACCTGAGCCGAAGGCAGAGGTTTAACCCACTGAGCCACCCAGGCGCCCCTTTCTAGTACTTTCAAGAGCATGTTATGCCTGGCACATAGTAGGTGCTCCCCAAATATTTATTGAATGAATGTATGCCATATGCCTTGGGGTAGCTAGATTTCTCTATGTATTTTTACCTTTCCTTTTAAAAGGTTAAAAAGAAAATAATAACAAAAGCAACTCAGGAGCTGCTCTCTTTCTTAGCTGTGGCTTTGAAAATCCTTCAGTGCCAGAAGCTCCCTAGCTCTGACGGAAATAAGTAGTTAAGAATTTTAGTGAACCTGCATTAATATGAAGAATATAACTTAGTTTTCTACACTAATCCCCTCCCCAACAAAACATCAAACAGTAGAACTACTGACTCTGAACCTGAGAATCATAAGCCTGGAAGTGAGCTAAGAACTACTAGAACTACTACTACTAATTCTCTAGACCTGCAAGCAAGTCAGACAACGAAGGAGTAAGAAGGTACAGCGGCTGGCAGAGATTCAACCAACAGAAGTGTTTACCTCAGGACCGGTTGTGTGTTAGCCTTTAAGCCCAACCAGCCAGTTACCCATCTGGGTGGGGTGCTCACATGAAGCAGACACCTGAGGCACAGAGATGGATGGGATGGTCTGCACAAGGCTTTACCAGTCCAAAGACTGACTGAGGTAATTACTTGAGGCTGGAGAAAGTGTAGAGTTTTATAAACAAAGAACCATATTTTCCAGCTAGGCAGAATTTTCATATGGTTGCCTTAGCTGATTGGTAGTATCTCACATTATCTCTTAGAATCTGTTAACTGACATAAATAGAGACGTTAAAACTAAGGGCCTGTCATTATCAAAATGGAGAAATATTTCCCTCCTTGCCAAAGGGATCCATCAGAACAGCAGCGGAGTTCTGGGAATCGCAGACACAGACAGGCTAGCTAGCCAGCCCAGCATATTTGGTTTGGCTCTCAGAAAAGAAAAGTGTCAAAAGGGAGAGGGTAAAAAAAAAAAAAAAAACCCAAACAACTAATAAGAAATCTAATGCTGAAAACTGTCAGGGCGGTAAGAACAAGGCTTTGTTGCAGCTGAGATTTTAATGCTAAACCAGCTCAAAGCCTGAGCCAGTTCCAGCTCATCGCTCTGGCCGAGCAGGAAGAGAGAAGGAAATTTCCTTCACCACAGTGGCATGTGCACACTCTATGTCCGGGACTGCTGTCTGCTGTTTCCAGCACCTGGATCTGATTCTGGGATGAGTGTGGCAGGGAGAGACTAGAAAGCCTCCCACAGGAAACTATGGATCTTGCTTGAGTATTTTATTTTTTTAATTGCCAACCTGATACATTGCCTGGGTGGTGTCTCCTGACTCCTTAGTGAGATGACAAAATGACCCTGAGTATGGTACAAGTTGCTGGCCCAGTAATTCAGAAGGGCCTTGGAAAGGGTGCCATTACTGTGCAAGGCTCTGGAGTCATGTGGGCGGTTCTGAGTGGTTCCCCTGGGTACGCGTGGCCATCTTATGGAGGACCATGAGTAGTTGTGAGGGGCAAGCATAATACAGGGATACAGTAAATCAGGTCTCGTGACATGGAGAAGGTTGGGGATGAGGTAGGGGTCTGGAGTTGTATGTAACTAATTTTGGATTGCTAAAGGGAAGAAAATATGTGATGTGATTTGAAAGTTCTTGGGGATGGTTGGGGTTGAAAGAAAAGAAAAATATTCCCGTAGCCTCCTAATGCTCAAAAAATTTTGCAGTCAGTGTTTACTTAGGTGAAGAAGGGTGAGAATGAGAGACTCCAGGGACATTTCCAGTCCAACCTGGCTCAGTGAACGCTTAGGCTCACCACACTCATGAGCACGGCTCCCCAGAAAGTGTAGGCGAAGCCACAGCAGTCCAGAGCTCCAGTGGCCTCACCCAGCTCCATTTCCGCATGGAAGGAATGACCAAGCCTGAAAAGGAAAGTCCACACCAAAGCAAGTACTTCTGGGAAGTTTCACCCAGCTTACTGAAGGTGAGAAGGCTCACCAGATCTTTCTGCTCTACGTCTCCTCCTGAGGAGGCAGTTGGAGAGGGAGGGGAGCTCAACCTTCAGAAGTAGCCAAGTGAGAAAGCCAGTTCTTCAAGAGAAGATGGAGAAGTCATGGGATTATCTCACCACACAGAACCTAGCAAGTCCCGCATGGGGGTCTTTCTAAGTATCCCCAGTGCCTACAGGACTGCTGCCTGCGGGTTGCACTACCCTAGATGGTACATAAGAGCTGAATGCTAAGGGTTCAGCAGTGTGTGCAGGGAGCAACAGGGATGCTGGCAAAGCTGCAGCCCTGACAGAGGTTACAGAAACTTCTTAGCAGATATATTAAGTGGTCTACCATGTACTTTTCTCCCTCAAAAAAAGTCACATTGCTGTGGGAGAAGACTGTTATTAGCAGGGCCTCCTCTGACCGGCTGAGAGGGTTTTCTTCCAAAGGGTGCAATAGTGGAAAAAAGTTTGAAATGTCCAGTCCCTATGGTGCCACTTAGCTTTAGCATCTTGAGCAAGTCAGTTAACCTCTTTGGCCGCAGCCTTCTCGTGAGCAAAAGAAAAAAAGAAGGGTGCGGGGAGATTTGAAGATCTCTAAATTCTCTCCAACTTTATCTATGAATAAATATAGCTCACTCCTGACAAAATACCATTAGAACAGTGATCCCCAACTGGAAGTCTGCAGGCTACTTCTAGTTAGAGGACTTTTTCAGATCTCATGAAGACTTTACATTGTCTTCTCTGTGTCTCATCACACAGGATGCTAGGAAAAAACCCAGTACCTTATGATGATTTCCTACCTTTCTGCTAGATGCTTCCTAACATCCATCTGTGGTAAATGTACTTTTAGGAATAATATCTAACTAGTTCGAATTTAGGCTAAATACGTGTAAAAGATTGGTGTGATTTCCCATATACTCTAGATGTATCAAATAGCCTAAAATAAGAGAATCTGAAGTACAATGATGTTTATCACCAGGCCTGGGTTACACTGAGAAGGAGATTAATCTAGTTTTTAATCTGGCAATTTGGGGCACCTGGGTGGCTCAGTGGGTTAAGCCTCTGCCTTTGGCTCAGGTCATGATCCCAGCGTCCTGGGATCGAGTCCCGCATCGGGCTCTCTGCTCAGCGGGGAGCCTGCTCCCCCCCGCCCCCCTGCCTGCCTCTCTGCCTACTTGCTATCTCTGTCTGTCAAATAAATAAATAAAATCTTAAAAAAAAAATCTGACAATTTGGTCCTTTCTTGAACTTTCCCCAATTACTCACTGTTCTTATTCTGTTGTTCAGGTACCCAGGCAGGCAAAGGTGATGATGTTAATATGCTATCCTTCCTAGAAATATCTGCATTTAAAAAAGCAGTACTTTGGAGGAATAACTGATTCAAAGGAATAAACTGAACAGTGAAATTTCAGGCACATAGGCAGGAGCTTTACCAAACATTCCAGCCTACTACTTCTAAGCCACTATCATATCATTCTCTCCTGTTAAGTTGACAATAGGATATTAGCACCTGACCTTTGGCTTAGGGATTACATCAAATGCGGAGAAAGGGGAACCCTCCTACACTGTTGCTGGGAATGCAGGCTGGTGCAGCCACTCTGGAAAACAGCATGGAGGTTCCTCAAAGAGTTGAAAATAGAGCTACCCTATGACCCAGCAATCGCATTACTGGGTATTTACCCTAAAGACACAAATGTAGTCATCTGAAGGGGCACATGCACCCAAATGTTTATGGCAGCAATGTCCACAATAGCCAAACTATGGAAAGAGCCTAGATGCCCATCAACAGATGAATGGATAAAGAAGATTTGGTATATCTATCTATCTATCTATCTATATACACACACACAATGGAATACTATGCAGCCATCAAAAGAAATGAAATCTTGCCATTTGCGACAACATGGATGGCACTAAAGGGTATTATGCTTAGTGAAATAAGTCAATCAGAGACAGACAATGATCATATGATCTCCCTGATATGAGGAATTTGAGAGGCAGAGTGGTGGATTTGCGGGGTAGGGAAGGAAAAAAATGAAACAAGTTGGGATCAGGAGGGAGACAAACCATGAGAGACTCTTAATCTCACAAAACAAACTGAGGGTTGCTGGACATTGGGGAGGGTATGTGTTATGGTGAGTGCTGTGAACTGTGTAAGCCTGATGATTCACAGACCTGTACCCCTGGGGCAAATAACATATGTTAATAAAAATAATTAAAAGAAAAGGGTAGGATTAGGGGCGCCTGGGTGGTTCAGTCAGTTAAGTGTCTGCCTTCAGCTCAGGTCATGATCCCGAAGTCCTGGGATGGAGCCCTGCATTGGACTCCTTGCTCAGTGAAGATTCTGCTTCTCCCTCTCCCTTTGCCCTCCCCTACCCCCTCATGCTCTTTCTAATAAATAAATAAAATCTTTAAAAAAAGAAAAGAGTAAGAGTAGGGTTGCCTGGCTGACTCAGTCAGTGGAGCATGTGATTCTTGATCTTGGGGTTGTACAGAGATTACCTAAAAATAAATTCTCAAAAAAAAAGGGTAAGGGTTTTTAGTCTGATAATGTTAAAACCTAATTCATCAATCAAAACCTAATCTTTTTTTTTTAAAGATTTATTTATTTATTTGAGAGAGACAGAGAGAGAGAGAGAGCGAGTGAGCACAAGCAGGGGGAGCAGCAGGCAGAGGGAGAGGGTGAAGCAAGCTCCCCGCAGAGCAAGCAGCCCCATGTGGGACTCCATCCCAGAACCCTGGGATCATGACCTGAGCCGAAGGCAGATGCTTAACTGACTTGAGCCACCCAGGCGCCCCTCAAAACCTAATCTTTAGGGCTCCTGATCATCACTGCAATTACAGCGAGATATATTAAGTGTTAAAATTAAAGGTTCCGCTTTCTCCAGAAGGGCGTATCCCAGCTAGTGAGATTTGCTTTTGTGTCTAGGTGGTCTCTCATATAAAAATTAGTAGACAAAGCAGTAAGATAGCATTTACACCATGTAGAAGAATACCTCCAGAAAGTTCCTGATCTCACTCATTCACAAACAAGTATCTGCTTCATGTTTTATGTGCCTTTATGTAGATTACACAGGTTTTTAAGAACGGTCCAGTTACTAAGTTCTTTTCATACAGTATTCTGGACTGAAGTCATCAGCATGCCCTGCAACCTCCCTGAGGGAATACTCTGTAATTAGTGGATGTGAGTAACTGACTGTGCAGTACCCCCCTACCTTTTAATAGGCAGGGCCCCATGATTTATTTGGAATGCCGTTTCCAGAGTCTGTTTGAAAGTCGGTTGTCTGAAACCCAGAAACAATTACCTAAGTGGTAGTTAGGTTCCCAAGTAGTCCCCACGAGACTACTGACCCATAATGCCTGTTATGGGCCAAATCATGCTCCCTCCCCTAACTCACATGTTGAAGCTCTAATCCCATAGCCTCAGAAGGTGCCTACAGGCAGAGACTTAAAGAGGTGTACTTAAAGAGGTGTATTTAAAGAGGTAACAGTTCAGATGAGTTTGTTAGGGGGCGTCTGGTTGCAACGACTGGTGTCCTTGTGAAGAAGGGGAGGAAATCTGGACCCAGAGACACCAGGGATGTGTGCACACTGAAGGAAAGAAAGGCCGTGTCAGGGTATAGCGAGGAGGCGGCCGTCTGCAAGCCAAGGACAGAGGCCTCAGGAGGAACTAACCCTGCCCACACCTTGATCTTGGACTGCTAGCTTCCAAAACTGTAAGAAATGAGTTACTGTTGTTCAAGCCACCCTGTCTGTGGTATTTCGTTATGGCAACTCTGCAAACAAATACAGTATTGTTGGTATATGGGGTCGTAGAACTTAACCACCATTCATAACATTTTACATGTTGGAAGATCCCTTCCGGGTTCTAACTCCAGACATCAGAAATACGTCTTTGCTTGCTGCAGTGGCAAGTGAGTGTGGCCCAGTCCCATCTCTGCTTGGCAGAAAACCTCATTCTATGGTGGCGGCTCCAGCAGCAGGACATTCTATAAGGGGTGCAGGAGGTTCTCTTAGAGGCCCAGGGAGTAACAGCAATAGCTAGAACGGCAGCCAGTGGCTGCTGAGGAGGGCTGGCTCATTCACGTAGCAGGGCCTCCTCAGACGAGTGACTAATACAGGAAGGGAGGTTGTGGCAGCATTTCCCCCTACTCTCCGGAAGTGGAGCGTTAAGTTATGGGACACAAGAAACCAAGTCAGGAATGACAGTACTGCCTGTATGGAGACTGAAGACTGCTTATATTTCAGGGTACCCTTTTGAGTTTACACCTAAGAGATCATGCCCCACTCGAGAGGGGTGCAGTCCCACACCTTTGTTTTTTCCTAAGTTTAAACAGGTTTCCCTGAGAGAATTATTGTTGCACCTAGCCCTGTTACCATAGGAGCCTTGTATCCTTTTGGGGTGTTGGGGCACAAACATGGCTGAGAGCCCCTGGCATACACCACAGGAGATACTACCCATAAAAAATTTAAGTTACTTCTATTTCTGGACTGTCCCACCAAACCACTGGTAAGGAATTAAATAGTTTGGAAGAAAGCTAAGGGCCATTTATTTCAAATGCTCTGACTAGACCAAAAAATTGTCATTTCCAAAGTTTCTAAGTTCCACTGGCTTTAAAGTTTGCACTGTCTAGGCTGGTCATGGGTTTTTTTGTTTTATTTTGTTTTGTTTTGTATCCACAGGATTAATTTTCTCCTTGCTTAGTTGGAGAAGCATTACTTCTGTAAGATGACACCGGAGACGACAGACCTGTGTTCAATATACCGGACTGTAGTAATTGTCAAGACTCATTAAAATCCCAAGATGGTAAATAATTGCTTCTACAGGAGCTCTAGGATATTAGGAGTATTAACCTCTTCTCCCATGGGAATACTTTAAACACAGAGGGAAAAAATGCAATTAGGGCAGCTAGAAAACATTAAGATCTCTATAAATACAGAGCTTTGTAATTAACAAAATATTCCATATTCATATTTTAGAACTTTGAAGAGTCCAGTGCAAGACCAAGCTAATAAAAACGAGACTAAAAAAACATTCTTGCCTTTTTCGCTGCAAAGCCAAGGACACATGAGGTGAACTCAGAGTAGGTGTTTTATGCTCACTTTTTAGTCCAGGCTTGTTGGGGGTAGGCCCCAGTAATGAGGACCGAGAGCTTTCCTAGTCAAGAAGAGGAGGGAAAGACCTGCAACAAAACAGAAAGGAGAAGTTCCCTTCTCTGAGACAAGTTAAGAAAGGAAATGGTTGGAGGGATCTTTTCTATCAAAAAAAGTTTTGGTCTAGCTGGGTCTCTTAATATTCTCTCTCTCTCCACAAGCAAGATTATTCTACATTCTGCACAGAGCTTGTAGTTTTGGGAGTTTGGGGAGCTGCAAATAAAACTTAGTACCTGTGTCCTTTCGGCTACGTAAGAGGTCCTTACCGCCTCTGTATTCAAATGTTCATTTCTTCTTCCTTTCCCCAACTCAGCTTTTGGGGGTTTTATCAGATGTAAGGCAACAGTTTTGTGTCCTGTGCTCCAGCTTAGCACCCTGCCAGCCCCCATCCTCTCTTGTGGTGTCTGCCGAGCTCTTCCCTATCTTCCTACCCCCTTTTTTTGAACAAGCTTTTCTCTGCCAGATTTCCAACATCCAACTGGCAAGATACTCTGCTCTTTGCAGAAAAAGGTTAATGGCAGCTGTCAGAGGGAGGAGAAAGTGCCAGACTGTGTGAGAGCAGAGGGAGAGAAGCAGTGAGGCTACTCCACAGGGTGTTTCTCATAAATTTGTTAAGACACACACACACACACACACACACACACACACACACCCATTCTCAAGCCCAGTTCGATACAGACACACATTTATCTTCACAGCTCTGCAGTTATTTTTGCTGGATGGCTGGCCTTGCCTCTCTCAGCCTCTCACACTCTGCTGCTCTTAGTTTTTTGGACAAGAGTTCAACATCGGAGCTGAGGAAACAAGTTCAAACATCCCAGAAAGAAGAAAACCAGATCAGAAACAGTCAGGCTGGGAACCAGAACAAAGTTTGTTGCCCCACAAAGAACCATTCTTTTTCTTTGTCCCTTTATTTTCCCTTCCTGCTGCCCCCATCTCCTGCCCCCCAATAGCTCATAAGTCCATTTGGCTCACTTGTGTGGGACAACAATCTGTGCAAATGCATTCAAGAGAGAAGAATGAAACGTCATGTTGTGACGGGTGATTGATGCCTTCCCTGAGTGAGGGAGATGACTTCTAGGTTCTGTGCCCAATACTGCCCCAGCATTAAACCCCCCCGATTCACCACCTCGAAAAGAGAGGGATATAAGCCAAAGAGTGATTGATCAAAATCAAGAAAACAAATGGAAGAAGGAATCCAAGGAGAGGACAAGGTCTGAGCCAAGTTTTAGAACAATACTTCCCTGGAAATTAAAAAATGGGACAGAGCGCTGGGAAAGGGAGCTGGAATCCAAAGCTCCATGACCCACAGAGCAGGCTGGCTGATACAAGTTCATTCCAGTGTGGTCGGGCCCCTGATGGGAGGCTGGCATTCATGGTGGAAAAAAAGAATTTGCACTCTAAGGAGCAATTCCATTTTTAGCTTTTTAGCAGATGCTGCTTATCAGTCAAACTGCTTTAATAAGTTAAAAAGAGACTGGTAGTGGGGTATGCTTTTCCTGTTTTCATTTTTTATTAACTTTTAAAAAAGAGTTATTTTTTAAAAGTAGGCTCCATGCCCAACATGGGGCTCAAACTCACGACCCCAAGGATCAAGAGTCACATGCTCTTCTGACTGGGCCAGCCAGACGCCCTCTGTTTTCCTCTTAATTTAACTATCATTGACATATTGTGAAATGCATGGATCTTTAAGTGTACAATTTGGTGAATTTTGATAAATCCATATGCTCACATAAACTGTCTCCACAACCAAACTATACAACATTTTCAACATCCCAGAAAGTCTCTCATACTCTCTTTTTTAGTCAATTCCTTTGGTAACCAGTGTTCTAATTTTTACCACCATAGATTGTTTACCCTGTTCATAAATTGTCATATAAGTGAAATCATACATTAATTACATTTTATTTTGTATCTGCCTTCCTTTGCTTGAGAGTGTTTCTGAGGTTCATTTGTAAAGTTGCTTGTATTGGTTCACTGTCGTTTATTGTTTAGTTTCCATTACATGACACAAAATAATTAAAAATATCTATTTTATCAATGAACACATGTACTGTCTCCAGTTTTGGGCTTTTACAAATAAAGTTGTTATGAACACTCCTGTATACATCTTTTTGTGGACACTTCTCTTGAGTTATAGGAGTATATCTAACTTAATAAGAAACTGCCTAACAGTTTCCCAAAGTCGTGTACTACTTTAAATTCTCACCAGCAATTTCTCAGAGTTCCAGTCGTTCCACATCCCCAACTAACAACCAGTATTACCAGTTTTGTTAATTTCAACCATTTTTTGTGGGACTGTAGTACAATCTCATTGTGGCTTTCATCTGTGTGAGCATTTTTTATGTGTCTAATTTGTGTATCTTCTTCTTGTAAAGTGTCTATTCAATCAAGTCTTCTCCCTGCTTAAAAATTTTATTATTTTATCTTTTTTTTATAGACTTTTAAAATATCTTCTCATGGAAGTCCTTTGCTTAACACGCACACTCACACACGGTGGATACTTTTCTCCCAGTATTTTGATGAACACAAGTTTAAAGTTTTGATAAAGTCCAATTTTTAAAAAATTTTTGTTATGTTTGGTGTTTTACATTTCTATGCCTGCTAAAGTGAGGGTACTTATAGCTATATATATGCATGTGGCTAATATCTGAAATTAAAACACATTTTTTAATTAAAGTCCTTAAAACAACTACCCATTGCTAATCCTTGTTTACAAAGGCACAGTTTTAGAACCCAAAACACTGGCTTTACCTAAAATTTCAGGGCTTTTAATTAAAGTTTTAAAAATGAAAACCCCTGCTTTTAAAAATATTCAATCATTCAATATATAGGCTATATATATTTACTGATAGCATGAGACGATCTGTGTCAAATGGGCATAATATTGACAAGTATGATGGGGTGAGGGAGGGGCACTAAATGTCTAGATTTAATGTTAATTTTTAAATCTCTCTGAAAGGAAATTCTACCACAGCCCTTTGAAATTTATTCCATGTTCACAGATCCTTCCCTGTTTAACTGAAATATTTCTTTACGTAATTTAACATATTCTCTCATTTTGCCCTCAGAAGAAATAGAAAAAAGGAGAAATACAGGCTTCCTCACCATTTAGACAAAAGCCTTCACCCTATAATTGAGTTCTATACCTTTATTTTTTCTATGTAAGCTGCCCTTTTGCAACAGTTGTTTATTTTTTTAAATATTTCTATCTTCCTCTTTTTAAGTCTTCTAATTATTTTATTTTTTTTTAAAGATTTTATTTATTTATTTGACAGAGATCACAAATAGGCAGAGAGGCAGGCAGAGAGAGAGAGAGTGAGGAGGAAGCAGGTTTCCTGCTGAGCAGAGAGCCTGATGTGGGGCTCGATCCCAGGACCCTGGGATCATGACCTGAGCCGAAGGCAGAAGCTTTAACCCACTGAGCCACCCAGACACCCCTAATTATTCCATTTTTTGCTTGAGCTACAATGTCACATTCAAATACAGTTCTAAAATTTTGGGAGGCTGTTTATGTTACAATAATAGACTATCAGGGTTGGTGGGGGTGAAAAACCAACCTTACAAATAATCTGACTCAAATCCTCTCCCAGTGCTGAATTCCTTGTATAATCCAACTGAGCAGCTTCTCCTCCAGTGAAGAACTGATTTCATATACAGCTGTCCTTTTTTTTTTTCTGACAGATCTAGTTAAGATTTTTTGTTGTTGTTTAACTAAAGACTGCCTTCTTATAATGTCTACCCCACACTGAATCAGTCAATATACAAAAAGTCCATTCTGTAACTGATTATATCATCTTGTTGCTGCCTATAGGTAATATTTTGGAGTTGTCTAGACACTTCTTAATATTTTCAATACTCTTAGGCATCTCCATTTTCACAAGATGATGAAAATCTGAACCCCATATTTACTGACCTAAATTTTAATTTTATTTAATACTTAGTTGATACTGACCTAAATTTAATTTTATTTAAAATTTTATTTAAAATTTTATTTAAATTATTTAAAACAATTTTTCATTTATTTGTCAGTGAAAGAGAGAGCACAAGCAGGGGGAGCAGCAGCCAGAGGGAGAAGCAGGCTCCCCACTGAGCAAGGAGCCCGATGAGGGACTCAATCCCAGGACCCTGGGATGATGACCTGAGCCAAAGGCAGATGCCCAGCTGACTGAGCCACCCAGGCGCCCCCCCCTAATTCTTTTTATTTTGAAAAAATTTCAAACTTACAGAAAAGTTGTAAGAATACAAGAATTGTCCAACCGTTCACACAGATTACTTAATTGCTAATATTTCACTATCTTTGCTTTATCATTCATTTATTATATCTACATGTAACTTTGTGTATGTTTCCTAATTGTTAAATTTAGATTACATATTGTTTGGCAGAAATTGGAGTTCTTCTCAGTGCATATTATCAGAAAACATGTAATGCTGATTTGTCTCACTAATGGTGATGTTAACTTTAGTCATTTGGTTTAAATGGTATTTATTAGGTTCTTCCAATGTAAATTAACTAAAAGAGTTTTATGCTAAGTGAAATACGTTATTATGAAGAGATACCTTCAGACTATGCAAATATAAACTTTTATCTACTGGTTTTCACATTTCTTGATGATTCTTGCCCAAAGCAGTTATTACTAAGATGGTTGCCAAATCGTGGTTCTCTAATTCCATCATTCCTTCCACCTTTATTAGCTCACATTCTCTCACAGGATAAAGCTTTCCTTTCCCTCCCCTTTGTTCATCCATTTATATCAGTATAGATTTATAGATTTCTATTTTATTCAATGGGTTATAATCTACTATCAATATTGATTTCGTTGTTCACATTCTCCAAAATTTTTGCCATTGAGAGCCCCATGTCCTTTTGACATATTCTACCACTCTTGGAGCACTTCCTTACTTTCTGGTATAGTGAGATGTTCTAGATTTATGTTGTGCTATGCCACACACGGCGTTAGACTCACCATGTCTCCAAGGAGTCCTGAATATCTCAGTATTTGGGCAGCAATATTTAGGATCTCCTTAAAGTCATTTCTATTTAAATGAACTCTGGTGTTATTATATTGTTGAGATGTTTAAAAAAAAAAAGCCTATGAAACTCACTGTTGTGTATACCGGAAGGAGGTTGAAGATGCAGCTTATAATTTGATCCTAGATGAGGACCCATGGGGAATCCTAGTTTGTTTTAATCTTGTGAGACACTACAGACTAATATAACCAATCAAACTCCTCTCCTGACAGTGCCTGAGAGCTCACTTCCAGATTTGCCTTATTTTTCTCTAACCTCATTTCCCCTTGATTATTAGAATCATGAAGATGGGAAGGCAGAGTTGAGGACAGTTCTTCAGGAGATTCTGATATCCTCTATTCCTTCAGAGAAGAATTGCTTCGAGACTACTCACTCAATTTGGAGTATTGTAAGATTTAGAACTGATTTCTGATTATTCATTCCATCCTTTTGGAACATGGTTCCCTTTAACCTCAAAGCTGAATGAATATAATATTGTGAATATAACTTCTTAATTTTATGATAAGAAGTAAAAATAAAGTGAGCTAGAAAAAATTATCTCAAAGATAAAATAATGGTTCTTTCATGTACACAAGATATTTAAAAACAAGCTTTCTCTGGCCACAAACGATCTCAAATGTGACCTGTTCCAAGTTTACGTGGTTGACTGACCTTGACAAAATCGCAGCTGGAGATGAAGTAGCTTTAAATTCATTATTTGAACAATGTATGCCTGGTACAGTGTAGAGACAGAAGCCCAAAGGAATGACTCAAATATGAAGTCCTCAAAATAGAAAGTATGTATGCATGTATCCATTCACCTGCAAGCCAAAATACTGAAAAGTGGGTACAATTAACTACAGGCATTCCCAAACGAATCTATTTAATCTTGGTGACTATATTGACTCTGGCCAGTGTGTGTAAATCACAATACATACAATATCTTCAAATCAGGGTACTTTGACCCATGAACAATATTATGCTCCATTCTGGTCACCACATTCACTTTCTATGAGCCACTGTGCTGGTGACAAGTTGAGAAGTTGTTCATTGTTGCAGGGAAATCACGTTATACAACACAGAAGTGTATGAATAGGAGAGCCATTGGAGACTTGTAAATGTTTCCTCACCTCATTGTAAAGTCTGATACAATCACTTGCAGCTATGAGAAAGCTTACATATAGGGGTGTGGTCTTTCTAATATCTGCACCTGCAAATATCTGGAGTGTCCCACTTTGTTGTATCTTTCTGAAACCAAGGAGATGATATGTAGCGTATGTTCGATATAATCTTTTTAAAGACATACATAACACTTGCATTAAACTCATCATTATCCATCCCAAATACATCAAGACCCAAATTCTTGAGCTCAATGGAAATAAGTCTGAAAATTTAAAGCCTCTAATTGCCTGTATACACTGACAAGTTTTAGGTGAAAATTCACCAATCTCCATGGTTCTGTAATACTTGCCCCAAGAACCAATAACCCAACTCCTTGAGTAGATTAAATTGTCATATGTTAGAGTCAATGCTGGACTCAGGGAGACACTAACAAGATTTCCTGTCCAAGAGCTGGCAAGAGGGTCTGGCAAAGAAATGAAGGCACCTTATGGAGGAGAAGTGGGTAGAAACGTAGTGTGGGGAACACAGATCTGGAATTGCCATTATGAGCTGTGATTCTGGAAGATAACAGACAGTGGTCAAATATGGGACTAAAATAAACAGAGAAGATGTTCAAATCTAAAATTGAACTTAACAAAACTTCTTAGTACTAGCCACTTTGTACCATAATAGCATTCTACTTTGACACTACCTCAATCTATTTTTTCAAAGAAAGCTTCTTTAGGGCTCCAGAATTATATGTAAAATGGTGTAAGATTTATAGCCTAAGTAGTTTGGTATCATTCATTCCAAATTTGTATCACACTAAACAATATTACATGTTGTTTATGGAAACAAGTAAGTGTTTTTTATTAAAAAGGTAAAAATGTAGACTGAAAAAATGCACACCAGATTTGGATAGTGATTGCCACTATAGATGAAAAAGGAAAAATGCAACTGAGAAGGGGCATAAAGACTTTATATTTAGTATTAAAAAACCCCTGAAGTAGATATAACAAAGTAATATTTGCTAATTCTGAGTATAAAGCTGATGTTATATTAATCTCTATACTTACTCTGAATGCTTAAGAAATTTCATTAAAAATAATTTGGTACAACCACACACAGAGAAGAACATATGGACCAAAACTGCAACCAAATACATATAACATAAAAAATGGCAACTATAGGTTTTCTCAATCTTCTGCAAAAAAATTTTGTGATTCCTAAAATATGTATACTTAAGATTGCTCTCGTAGATAACAACATGGACACAGTATGATAGGAAGCCTGAAATTAAGAAAGCCCAGATATGATTAGAGATGTAGGGTCAGAATTTTTCATGTTCAAGATTTTAGAACAAGAGAAAATTCCGAGGTTGATAGGGGCTCATCAGGCAGAGTCTTAGTAAAATAGTAACTGAAAATAATGAGGAACTAAAATCTACCACTTATCATCTCCCATGAGGCTGACACCAGTAGCACTGATGTATATACGCTTGCCTGTTATCCATGTACCTATCTATCAAGTTCAGTCTAATCAAAACTTAACTAAAGACAGCTCCAGAGAGTATAAAATTTGGGGGCAGACTGACAAAATTCAGAAAAAGTCACTGTGTGAACTTTTCAAGGCAGAGCCTAGAAAGAATTCATCACATTCTGCCATCTAGCTATCCTATAATTACCATTAAGCTACCAACCTATTAAGTCTGACAGGTTGAAAAAAAAAACCTTAATAGTGCTATGGGCCTACACAATCTTCTACCTTTCAAAAAAGGACTTATTAGGGGGAGGAGTCAAGATGGCGGAGAAGTAGCAGACTGAGACTACTTCAGCTAGCGGGAGATCAGCTAGATAGCTTATCTAAAGATTGCAAACACCAACGGGAGATCAAAGAGAAGAAGAACCGCAATTCTAGAAACAGAAAATCAACCACTTTCTGAAAGGTAGGACTAGCGGAGAAGTGAATCCAAAGCGAAGGGAAGATAGACCGCGGGGGGAGGGGCCGGCTCCCGGCAAGCGGCGGAGCAACGGAGCACAAAATCAGGACTTTTAAAAGTCTGTTCTGCTGAGGGACATCGCTCCAGAGGCTTAACCGGGGTGAAGCCCACGCGGGGTCAGTGTGGCCTCAGGTCCCGCAGGATCACAGAAGGATCGGGGATGTCTGAGAGTCGCAGAGCTTGCAGGTATTAGAACGGGGAAGCCGGCTATAGAGACAGAGCCGAGGAGTGACTCTCAGCTCGGGGTTACCTTGAACCGGTCGCAGGCTTGGTGAGCTCGGAGCGCGGCCGGAGGCCAGGGTGACGGGAGTAATTGGGCGCTGTTCTCTGAGGGCGCACTGAGGAGTGGGGCCCCGGGCTCTCGGCTCCTCCGGGCCGGAGACTGGGAGGCCGCCATCTTCATTCCCGTCCTCCGGAACTCTACGGAAAGCGCTCAGGGAACAAAAGCTCCCGAAAGCGAACCCGAGTGGATTACTCAGCCTGGCCCCTGGTAAGGGCGGTGGCATCTCCGCCTGGGGCAAAGACACTTGAGAATCACTACAACAGGCCCCTCCCCCAGAAGATCAACAAGAAACCCAGACAGGACCAAGTTCATCTACCAAGGAGTGCAGTTTCAATACCAAGGAGAGCCGCGGAATTCCAGAGGAGGAGAAAGCAAAGCACGGAACCCATGGCTTTCTCCCCATGATTCTTTAGCCTTGCAGTTAATTTAATTTTTTTTCTTTTTCAATTTTTTTCTCTTCTTCTGCTAAATTTTTTTAACTTTTACCCTTTTCTTTTTTAACATTTTTTAACTAGTTTATCTAATATAAATATATTTTTTTCCTTTTGATATTTTTTCATTATTGGTTTTCTTTTTTTATTTGTTTCTTTATTCTTTCTTTCTTTTTTTTTTTTTCTTTCTGAACCTCTTTTTATCCCTTTTCTCCCCCCTCACGATTTGGGATCTCTTCTGATTTGGCTAAAGCATATTTTCCAGGGGTTGTTGCCACCCTTTTAGTATTTTACTTGTTCCTTCGTATACTCTTATCTGGACAAAATGACAAGGCGGAAAAATTCACCACAAAAAAAAGAACAAGAGGCAGTACCAAAGACTAGGGACCTAATCAATACAGACATTGGTAATATGTCAGATCTAGAGTTCAGAATGACGATTCTCAAGGTTCTAGCCGGGCTTGAAAAAGGCATGGAAGATATTAGAGAAACCCTCTCGGGAGATATAAAAGCCCTTTCTGGAGAAATAAAAGAACTAAAATCTAATCAAGTTGAAATCAAAAAAGCTATTAATGAGGTGCAATCAAAAATGGAGGCTCTCACTGCTAGGACAAATGAGGCAGAAGAAAGAATTAGCGATATAGAAGACCAAATGACAGAGAATAAAGAAGCTGAACAAAAGAGGGACAAACAGCTACTGGACCACGAGGGCAGAATTCGAGAGGTAAGTGACACCATAAGACGAAACAACATTAGAATAATTGGGATTCCAGAAGAAGAAGAAAGAGAGAGGGGAGCAGAAGGTATATTGGAGAGAGTTATTGGAGAGAATTTCCCCAATATGGCAAAGGGAACAAGCATCAAAATCCAGGAGGTTCAGAGAACCCCCCTCAAAATCAATAAGAATAGGTCCACACCCCGTCACCTAATAGTAAAATTTACAAGTCTTAGTGACAAAGAGAAAATCCTGAAAGCAGCCCGGAAGAAGAAGTCTGTAACATACAATGGTAAAAATATTAGATTGGCAGCAGACTTATCCACAGAGACCTGGCAGGCCAGAAAGAGCTGGCATGATATATTCAGAGTACTAAACGAGAAAAACATGCAGCCAAGAATACTATATCCAGCTAGGCTATCATTGAAAATAGAAGGAGAGATTAAAAGCTTCCAGGACAAACAAAAACTGAAAGAATTTGCAAACACCAAGCCAGCTCTACAGGAAATATTGAAAGGGGTCCTCTAAGCAAAGAGAGA